GGCCCAGGTTCTACCCATTTAACACCCGCCCGGCCGGCCCAGGTTCTACCCATCTAACCCCCACGCACACTTCTCGCGAGGACTCGCCTCGCCCAGCAGTCAGCTCCGCGGCGGCTGCCCTCAGCGCCCTGTGCTTGTCCTCACGGCCCCTGGCCTGGGAGGTAGGTGTCTCTGTTTCTCTAGTCCCGGCACCAGACACAGGCACCAGGGCCGGGGCTTTGCCCACCCCGGGCCGCAGGGACTCCCCAGCCTCCCCCGCACGGGCGTCGCGGGCCTGTGGGGCCCGACCCCGCGCTTCCTCCTCCGCCTCCAGCGCCTTCTCCGGGGTTCTGTCAGGAGTTCCTCGGGGTCGCTGATGGAGGTGCCAGCACCCCTCCCTCTCCCTGTGGCCCGCGGCCCTGCACCAGCTCGCTGGGGGAGACACTGGGCATGGAAGGTGCCTACTTGGGGCAGCCGCCTGGCAAGGTCCACGGGTGAAGGGGTCCTGCTCTCTGTCCTCCGGTTTAATTAAAACGGGAGACAGTGGAACGGCTGGCCCGGCGGGTTTGTTGGCTGAAGCTGTAACAGCGGGAGAGCCGTGAGTGGTCCAGTCCGGTCAGCCTGTCCCCGAGGAGATTTGGGACCTTCTTCTCTTTCTCCCAAACCATCTCCTGCTCTCCAGCTCCACCCTCCGGGAGGCAGTGTTTCCTTGTGGCCTGCGGGGTCCCCTCGGCGCCTGGAGACTGAGCACTGACCAGAGTTGGGGGCAGGCGCCGGGCTCACAGCTGTGGTGGTGGAGGGGCGAGGGCTCCAGGCGCCTCCTGGGGGGAGCACGTCCCAGCGCTCACTGGCCGCGGTCAGAGCCAGCCTGGGGGCCGTCCTGGCCGTGTTGGGAGGGGGGGTGTGGGCGCGTCGGCCCCTGGCTCCCCATCGCTGTCCTGCTTGAGGCCGTGCTGAATTCTCGCGGTCGGGGTGTGGGGTCCTGGTCCCTGCAGGGCCAGGGCGCCAATGGCTCGTGCGGGGAGTGCCACCGGGTGTGGGCATCGAGGCCGTGTCACGGTCAGTCCACCTCCTGGCGGCTCTGTGTGTGGTGAGGAGACCGGCCCCTCCAGGCTCCGTCTCACTCTTGTGCCTCAGTGCAGACTGAGGTGGCTTGGGACCGACCGTGTGTGCAGTGGGTGCCACTAACACCATAACCCAGACCGTCCCCGCGGCCCAGCAGGCATCGGGCCGAAGCTGTGGGCCTGAGAGAGGTGTGAGGACCAGGGCCCGGGGGAGAGCCCTCATCTGTCTTCTTTCTCGCCTTCCTAATCAGCGGGCCTGGTTTTAAACAGTGTCAGCGTTAGGGTTTGAGACGCAGTTCCTAGCAGGTGCCAGTGTTGGGATTTAGTGTGACGGCAGGAGGGGAAGCTGGGGCCAGTAAGGACATGCCAGCCTCGCCCTACAAGGCTGTGGTTCCACACGAATACCCGGAGCAGACACTGTGGGACCTTCCTGGCCTCTGCTGCCCCTCTCTGCACTGCCAGCCCTCACCCCTAGGGGACCAAGGACGGTGGGGGACGGCTGCCATGATGCCCAGCCTGGCCAGAGGGGGCAGGAGGGCAGAAAACAGCTAGTAGTGTGACTGGGGTCTGCCATGAGGGGCCTGGGAGAGAATGAGCTGTGGATGGGAGCTCCCACGGTGTTCCCCTGCCCCCTGACCTCCTTACATTCCTCCTCCCGCCTTAAAGTCCCGTTTGCGGGACTGACCAGAAGTCCACGTGTGTTTCCTTCCCTGGCCGAGGCCTGCCCGGCCCACATCTCACGGTGCCTTCAGCCCCACGGCCGCCTCCGGCTGTCTGTCGTGCCTTACTGTGGGGACCGGGTTTGCAGCACGTTTTATGCCCAAGACACCGACTTGACCGTCCCCCACATGCGTTGTTCCTCCTCCAAGTCCACCGTGCCTTCTGCCCGCGTGGGCAGTTTCCACCGGGGGAGTCTTGGGCCCTCTGTGTGTGTGCAGTTCTGTAAATATGATGGGCTCACATGTAAAGAAGGGAGTTGATGGGAGAGTACACTGATTTGTTACACAGGAAATGGGAGTTTAAGAAAACCTAAAGACGCTATAATAAATTGTAAAGACGTGATGGTTTGTATTGTATAATGAACTAAGCCTCTGTAATTTTGTACCATACATGCCTTTCCACCCTAGGACCAGCTGCTTCTAAATAAAATCCGATGATTTCATGCCTAAGTCTGAGGCCAGTCTTGTTGCTTTTCCCTCTCCCACCCTGACGTGGGGATGTTTAGGCTCCTTCTAGACGGTTTCACAGGTATCAGGGGTCGGGTTCTGAGTGGTTGAGGTCGGCTTTTCGCATGTAGCCTGGGGGGGGGGGGGATGTCCAGGGAAGCAGCCGGTCCCCAGCTCAGCTCCGCTCCGCTCCCCAGCCCCTGCTCACCTCCCCGGTGCTCACCTCCCTGGGCCCTCACCTCCCTGGCCGCTGTGCTCCCTGTCATGTGGATTCAAGGCCCAGGGAGGCCCAGGTGGTTCTGTGAACAGTCTTAGGTTGAGGCTTCTTACAGGAGCCAGGAACCAATAGGAACTTTCTGTTGGCCATAGACCCAAGGTAACTGGAGCTTCTGGGGATGACGGGACAGCTGGCCAGGGAGTAGAGAGGTCACTGGGGCAGGGATGTCCAGCTCCCAGGACACACCTGCCTCGATCTGTGGAACTGGACCCATGCCAGCCAGACCCCCAGCCGAGGAGTAGAGGCTCCTTGCCACTGCTGCAAGGTGTTTGGGGAGGGAGGAGGTGAGGAGCTGGGGCCAGGTAAGGACATGCCAGCGTTGCCCTACAAGGCTGTGGTTCCACACGAATACCCGGGGCAGACACTGTGGGACCTTCCTGGCACCTTCCTGGCCACAGACGGATGCACGCTGTCTGTGCTGGGCCTCCTCCCACAGGCTGTGGAGCCCAATGGTGGTGGTTGGGGGCCTGCTTGCCCATGAGGGCAACCACCTCAAGTCCTGGCACCCAGTGTGGGTTCCCAGCAGCTCTGGAGACATCAGCCAGCCCAGATCTGGGAGGGCTCAGCTTGGCACCAGGGAGGGACACCCACTTGCTGGTGGCCCTGCGCAGGGCTGCCTCCTTCCCCGCGTCGAGGCCTCACTTGGCCTTCGTGTGCTGTGAATGCAGGGCTGCAGCCACTTGGAGGGCTGATGGGAGGTGGCCATCAGTCAGAGCACATCTCAGCGGGACTTGTTTGTATTCATAAGGGCCCAAGAGTTGTTCTCAGAGATAAGCGCTGCCAGCGAATGACAGAAACTTGGCCGCCAGGAGCTGCGCTGCTCCGAGGCGGGAGTCTGAATGGAGAATTGATCTAGCTCCTAGGATAAATCTTATTTTCTGAGCTGCTGCTGACTCTCTTGCAACTCAATGAGGTCTCCTTTGTCTGCATCAGGCTGCGGGGCTTTATGGTCGCTCAGACTCAGAATGGGCGCTAGGGGATTTTGTCACATTTCTCTTCGCTCACTCACCAAATCTCTCCGGAGTATCGCACACCTGTCCTGGCGGGTCTTAGGTGCACCCACGGGGCATGATGCCACAGGAGAGCCCCAGAGGCACCGGGATGCGGAGGTCACCTCTAGGGACAGAGGACTGAGAGGAGATGAAGGGCAAGGGCGATGGGAGGGGAAAACTCCCAGGGAGTCCAAAGGACAGAACCCGGGTGAGTGTGTGTCCTCAGTACTGCCCCTCCCCATCTGCCCACTTCCACCTGGCAGTTTAGGTCGGGTTTGGGGCGGCTTAAAATTTTGGGCAGTCTTTTCTACTTATGTGTAGTGAGGAAACAGAGTTTTCTTCAGGTTTTCTCTGAGGGGGAAGTAAATGGATCCTCTGTTGGGAGAGAGGAGAGCTTGGACACTGTCCTCGAGTCCTGCTTACACACTGGATCCCAACCATTGGGCACCTTGGAATAAACACAAAGAACGAAGCCTCAGCTTCCTTCTGTTTGTTCTTCGCCGCTGAAGGGGAGGCCCCAGCAAGGAGGCGCTGGGTCCTGGCAGGAGAGGGAGGCGCAGCGGGCGCTGCTCAGCGCAATCCCAATCCATGAAAGGTGGAGAGTGCTAGGGCCTGGGGCTTCCGGATGGAGGTGGCAGATGGCGGGAAGGTTGGTGGTCTGGTTGGGAAGCTGGGTGAGGGGGATAAGGGACAGGCAGACAGGAATCAAAACATTGGCTGGAGTCAGAGGTGGAAGGATCCAGGGGCTTCCCCTCAACCGGGTAGTTTGTCACCTTAACCCTTTGGCGGTCCTCGGGTTGCTGGGGGCACCCTCTTTTTCTAAAGCAGACGGACCGCTCCCACCCGTGTCGGTGCCGGCCACTCCTCTCCCAAAGAAATCCCAGCCAGTCTGTTCAGTTATACATTTTATTCTCTAATAGGTACAATACTAAAATAAACACAAATTAAAAAAAAGTTTTATTAAAACAAAAACTGTACAAAAAAGCAGTATATACTACATTTTAATTACAGAACAGTCTACTGTCCAAAAGGCACTAATCCAGAATAGGAGATACAATGATACAGGACTCATTGAACTATTTTAATTAATACAATAGAGCACTTGTTCCTTGGACCATTTACATCTAGAAACAAGGGCTGCTTCTACAGTCATCACACACTGTTATAAATATGAGTCCCACAGGTGAAGGTGCAGTATCGCTCTCCCTGGAGAAGGCTCACAGCAAGGGGACCGCGTGGGGCTGAGGTGTGGGCAGCGGGATCAGCGGCCAGGGCTGCGGGACGCCTTCCTCCCCAGGAAGGGCTGGCTGCCCTGGGCACCTGGAGCTTGTCTCCCGGCCTGGCCTCCCCGAGGGGCTTTCTGGCCATGACGGGCAGCCACTTTCCCCGCCTTGTGTGTTAGCACCGGGAAAGGGGTTCTGAGATGCTCGGGGAACCTGCTGGAGGGCTGGGTGGTGACGCGCCAGCAGCTCAGCAGAAGGGAGGCATTTCGGTAACTTGATCTGAAAAAGGCAGCAACTACTCAGAGGGACAGGGGTCCGGGGCGGCCAATGACCTGGGAGCCAGGCAGACCCCCCTCCTCAGAGGCCCGGCGTCCCCTGCCCCTCTGGGTGAGCGGGAGGATCTGGTAAACAGATCTAACATCGCTTTTTCTGGAAGCCGATCGTTCAGAGGAAGTGGGATCTAGCCTCCCCAGGCCCTGCCGGCCCTCAGTCCCACTGCAGCTCCACGGGCAGCTCCTGGGCGGGACAGGGCCAAGCTCTGTCCACTGACCCGAGAGTGGGGCCTGGCAACTCTCTAAGCCCCAGGTTTCACTCTCTAACGGACTCTGGACTGAGGAAGAGAGATACTGCAGCTTTCCAAACAGTGTCATACACATAGAAGACGAAGACAGGCATCTGATGTTAACAAAAATAAGTAACAAAGAAATAGGATTAAACCAAATCTCTTCTCACAGCATCCTATACTACATCCTCCTTCTGCTTAGCAGAAAATTGTACGTACACAAAAATACAAATACACAATTTTGTAGAACAGTCTGATTTTAATATATTTATATATATTTATATTTATACGAGTGGCAGGTTAGTTCATTATATAGAGCTTTTTGCACTTTTGGCTCATATGCAACAAGGCTTATAAATTCAGCTTTAGCTTTCATTCAGGTTTTATAGCTTTTGAACAATTGTTTTCACATTTAAAGCAGCATCCAATTTGCACTAGGAGTTTGTGGTGAATACAGGAAAGATGGGGACAGGAGGTTACTGGTGGGGAAGGCGGGGCCGGGCACATATACATTCCAGTGTGTGTGGCCATGTGGGGAGGACGGCTATGGGGCGGAGCTGACCATGGTGACCCGTGAGGTAGACTGAACACCTTACAGCAGACTCAGACACAGGTGCGACTCCCCTCGGGGACACATGGTGCACAGGTGGGGACAGAGACCGGGACGCCTGAGGGAAACGCAGACGAAGACACAGGAGAGCCCCGCAGGAGGCTCCGGACGGCCCTGCAGACACGCGAGTATTTGGTGGATGCTAAGAACTCCCAGGCAGCCCCGAGGCTCGGGCCCGCGGTGTGGGGTCACATTGGAGGCCGAGCTCGCGCCCGTCTCTCGCGCGCTGTGCCAGCCCCTTCCCACCTGCAGCGCCAGGAAGACGGAGCTGCACACCACTTCGCCTCGGAACACTCCCAGCACCCCGCAAGCTCCAGAGTTCAAGTCCAGTTAAGTGAAAGGAAGCCGGGCCCCTTCCTGCCGCTAATTGCATTGCACTGTTGTTCCCGCTCGCTGCACTCTCCCTACATTCATCTCTCTCTCAATTACAAGCTGGGTAATTGACAAGCACTCGGTAGAACCTGTAAAAATAGCATCTGGAGAACGGAGGGGCGGCGACTGCGCATCCAGGCTGGTGGCCTCCGGGAGGGCCTGCGGCCACGTCACCCAGGCAACACCCCCGTTTATCCTTCATCCATCGGCCCCCCCCCTCCACCCGACGCCGGAGAACCCCTCGGGCAAAGGGGCCCTTCCGTGTTAAGGGATGCCCAGCGGTTGGGTTGTTCATTGTCTGAACAAAAATGTTGGATTATTAATTAAAATAAAGTGCCTGGCTATGGATTATTCCATTTTGCAAAACCTTCTAACACACCAACAAACCACGTGAGCATTGCTTAGTGCCGAGATGTGAACAGCGAGGGGTCACGGAAGGACCTCCGTGCGCCCACCGAGGAAGGAATAAAGGCCCCGATCCGGGTCAGACTGAACGAGAAAAGCAAACACAGAACCTCACACTCGTTTTCAAGACGCGCTTCTGGTCTCCGTCCCGCCGATGCAGTCATCCCTGAGCCCCGTGCACAGCTGCTCTGAACTTCCAGTCTAGGAGGAGGACGGGGGCCAGGGTCCCGGCGCCTCCTGGTGGCAAATGAGCCATCGTGTCTGTAGCCGTCATCCCTTCACTCCGGCCTCTCGGTTCTGGATGTGCTTGGCAGCTACCGACAGACAGTTGCTGCTCCCCTACCCTCTTCCCTCAGTAGCTACAGCCATTGCTAAGCAAGCCCCCAACATTCTCTCTAAACCAAGACCATGACCCCATCGACAGAAACACCCTGAAGCAGCAGCACAGGAGTGACAGGCCAGCCCGATGGGGTGAGGGGGTGAGGGGGCTTAGCCGTTCTGCTGGTAGAAGCCGGGACCCTGGACAGCAGCCACACGCTTTCCCTTGGGGCTAAGTGTGAGTGGGGAGGGCGGGGCAGGGCCCAGAGGTCTGTAACTTGCTTAGGCACTTAAAAATCATAAAGAACTTTAAGCTTGGACGGTACCGCATACCAGTGGCCGTGGCCGTGGCCGTGGCACAGAGGGGAGCCCGTGGGGAGTCGGGGAAGGCTGTGGGCTCTTCCAGGGGAGGCAACTGGGATGTTCTTGGCATCTGGCAGGGACGGCATCTGCCTGGCAGCCTGGTGAGTCTGGGCTGGGCCCAGGAGGCCTCTCCCGGGGAGGTGTGTGGCCCAGTGCCGGCTGCACAGATGTGCTGCTACGGGGGGGAGAGAACACCAGGAGAAGAGGCCCTTCTAAGAGGAGTGTTTTTGCAAAACCAGCGAACAGCGAAGAGCCCGCACCTGGAACTTTGGTTTGGTTTGCGGAGCCCCTTTTCAGACGCGGCGCCAGGGGGTTCACTGGCTGACACACTGAGTGCGGCTTCGGGCAGACAACCAGCAGCGATGCTCCCGAGAGGCCACAGCCGCGCCCTCGCCCTCGTCTGTCCACTGTCCGTGCCGCCCGCCCGCCCACCAGAGGCCGCTGTTCGCATTAACGCGGCACTAAGGCCCTGCTTCTGGCTTAACAGCTCCAGTGTACGACCAAGTGGAAAAATGACCCTCACTATTGTATGCCGGGCTCTTGGTTTCAGTAAAGCAAACAAAGTGGGCGAGGTGGCTGTGCTCCCAGGAAGCCAGAAAACAAGCCTGAGGCCGAAGCTGGGCCCGGGAGAGGTGGGAAGCAGCCGCAGCTGGTGGGAGCCTGGCTGTGGCCGGTCCGGCTGTGAGCCATGGGTCCCCTCGGAGGGGAGTCAGCATCTCCTCTCCACAATGTCAGTGGTGCCCAAATGCCACCAAAGATGCCAATCTGGATCGGTACCTAAATGGCAGGTGTGGCTGCCTTCTCCCCTCGTGCTGATAACCAAAACCCCGTAGCCAATGAAACAAGGTCCCTGTTACAGGGACCAGGGCCCCCTGGGAGCTGGCCTGGGGACCTCACACAGGCCACTCCCCCGGGGCCTCGCTCCTGGGTGGTTTCCACGCTCTTGGGCTTAATGGACGCCTAGGACAGCGCAGATCAGAACAGACCGGCCCTGGGGAAGGGAGAGGGGGACATGGATTTGGTGAGGGAGTCCTCAGGGAGCTGCCACACAGACCCTGGGCAGCTGGCCCCCTGGCTGGGTGTGGCTTTGCTGATCACTCAAGGTCATGAGAACCCCAGGGAGCTGGGTGGGCGGACATGGGACATGGGGGTTGCAGGGCCTCCGGTCCACGTAAGCACTGGCCCAGCCCCTCCGGACAGTGGCAGAAGGGATGGCAGAATGAGGTGCAACGGCTTAGCAAGACACCTTTCAACAAGCAGGCTGCCTGAAGCACCAGGCCCCGGGAAACGGCTGGAAGAGCTGGACAGAGGGAACGACGTGAGAGATTATTCCCTGCAGCACTCAACTGGAGCTGCCCCCAGGGGAGCTCGGAAACCCAGCCCCTTGGAACAGGGGCTCCAAGACAGCTGTGACCTGCCTCCAGCAGAGGCAACACCTCCCCTCGCAGACTCAGCCAGGAGGCGCCTCGCCCGGCTGCCCGGGAGGCCGCGCGTCGTCTAGATCATCAGGTGACAGTCTGGCGTGCGAGGGAACCAAGTGCACAGAGGGGTGCCGCGGGGCCGGAGGAGAAAACGGGACAGGGACTGACGCAGAGCACTGCCGAGACGCAGGACACATGGAGACTTGACCCGCCTGGACTCCATGGGGGAGGCGCGGGAGGGCGGGTCAGGAGGCGGCGAAGGCCCTCTCGCAGCGCCCAGCAGACACGCTCAGTAAATGCTGCTGTCGCGGGGGCCCGGGCTCATGAGGCGGCATGTGGCTTTGCTAGCGTTTCCATCTAGAAGGAAGCATCTCTACTCTAGCTTCTGCAATCTAGCGGCGCGTTACTTTTAGTAGCTGGGGAAGGGAGAGATGGGATACTTTTTGGGGTCATAAGTCCAGTCTTTCCAACTGAAGAAGATGGACAAGATCCCAGTGGAAAGTTCCGTGACTTCACACGAGTTGTGTGTCGGTGGGGGTGACAGCCATGCTTAGATCTCATAGGAAGAGAAGCGATGAGTAAAAACCTTATATGGCACTTTTTCCTGATGGAGCCCAGCTATGCATTTGACTGTAGGTATTGATATTTCATGAAACTGAAGAATAACCAGCGTGGGTTAGGATTCCTTCTGGAATGTGCAGAGGGGAAAGGCTGTATGTATTTAAGGATGGCAGCAATCTGAGAACAGAAGCAAGAGCTGGTTCCCTTTAGTGTTTTGTGGGGCCGGTGCTGGCCAGGCAGGCCCCGCCCCGAGGGAGGAAGCAGCTTAGCCAGGGCCCTTGGCAGGATGTTAAGGCCTGGCTTTGTGTGCACTTGCTCTTGATGGCACACGGAGCAGACTCTGCAGGTGAGGGCAGGGCCGCAGGAAGCAGACTCTAGAGGAAGGCTGGATGGCGACCTGCAGCTCCACCAGGGGAGGAGCATGGGGGCCGCCTGAGCCGGTGGGACAGCGCGGAGGGGAGGGGAAGGTGGAGTGGGAGGCGGCGGTGGGGAAAGCTTGGAGGGCTGCAGGCCGCTGATGTGAGCGCGGGAGTTAACCTGTGCAGGAGCGATGGGAAACTCGGTGGACCTCGCCTGTGTTCTCTTGGTCCAGAAACTTCAGACACTGGCAAGTAGGACGGAGGGACAGGAGGGCCTATCTCAGCCGACGCAGTTGGGATTCTGACTAACGCCATGTGGGCAGGCTGGGACTGATGCGAGAGGCAGGTTTCAGAGATTTCAGAAGTCAAAACGGGGAACTATCCAAAGGCTTCCATTTTGAAACTGAATTATCTCCAAATCCTCCACTCTCACGTCGGAGAGGACAGACACCCTGTCATTACTCCAGTTTGCTGAGCTGCGGCTCTCCGTGTTCTGGGGGACATTCGTGCTGAAGGGAACAGGGTGGGGAGCTGCCCCTTTCAATGGCACAGAGGACAGAAATCCTTTTAATTATGGCCATGCCAATTCACATCTCACCAAGGCAGCTAATTACAGGCAGGAGGACACTCAGTCATTCAGAACAATTGTCATCGTATTTTTATATACTCACTCTGTGCCACCCCC